CCGGCGATTATCACATGCTCTGACTTTTCAGCTGGAGCGTTCTGCACCTGGGGGCTACTTGCACCTGTGACGCCGGCTGCTTTGTTCCCTCCCTGCCCCACCACTACCTCGCTGAAGCTATGCCTTGCGACAGTTGAACCGGCTAAACCTGTTTTTTCCAAACTTGCTTGCTCTTCCTTCTCCACCGTTCTGGTTGCCGGTTCCCTACTGTTCTCTCGGTAGGTCGCTTCTTTGTTCAGCTTCGCTAGCGCTTCCTCGGCGGACTTCAGTCTTTCTCCCATTGCCCTCGTTTTCTCTTGCTCTGTCGCCAACGCAGTCTCGAGCTCGGCGATTCTCATCAGCAGTTCACTCTGGGCAACCATCATTTTCTCCATTTTTTCCCTGACCTCACAATGCCTACACTTCGCGTCAGCCTCTTCTCCATCCGCTTCTACGCTTGGGTCCACTTTCAAACCCACTCCACAACCTGAACACTTTACAGTCTTTTTAACCATGCCTTTCTGACACCAATTGTCCCTATACTCGATAATTACTAAACTCGAGCCCTGCACTACGAAAAAAAAGAAAGTCTCAGCTCTACTACAAAAATTTGCGTGTCCAATGTACGCGCACCTCCCCCACGGGGCGGGAAAAGAAAAAAAAACAACAAGAAATTCAAACACACACACCCGCACTAATAAATACGTGGTGACTGGCCCCCGAAAAGGCCGTACCATAAAATAAGTGCTACGAAGATTTCAACCGCTGCCTTATAATTATAAAGACAAGCTCAAAACATGCAAAAACACTTATCTGCGCTGTCGATCCGGAGCGCTAAAAAAACACGTCCATCCACCTTGACAGCCTGAACTGAACGCTGGATGGATGAATGGATATGGCTGTACCCTTTAGATCGGGCGGTGGCTAGCGCCACCAAGCCGTAATATTTAATGAACGCAAAACTATATTTATTTATTTTTTCCTTAAGAAGTGAGTTTGAGGATTCGTACTTTGCAGTGAATAGTTTAATTTTCACTCGTGCCTTGACTTTAGCCACCAATCAGATAACCTCCTTCTAGTTAAGTCTACTTGCTTAAAGTCTATTTTGCCCTCCCGGTCCCTAAACCCCAGTGCTTTGAAAAACTCTGTGCCATCATCCTGAACTATAGAGTGAAGCCCTTTACAGAACATTATCAAGTGTTCGGCAGTTTCTTCTTCCTCTCCACACGCACTGCATACTGTGTCTACCCCTTCGTATTTGGCCCGATATGTCTTGGTTCGCAGTACTCCCGTCCTTGCCTCAAGCAGTAGGGAACTACCCCGAGCATTATCCTAGATCCTTTCCTTGGCAATTTCCTGCTTAAAAGTTCGATAGATCTCTAGTGCGGACTTCTTAATCATGCCCATTTTTCACATGTCAGTCTCCGTTTCCTTCACTTTCTTCTTAACCGATAGTTCTTTTTAGTTTGGCCACCTGCTGTTTTCTAAGTATTTACCAGTCAACTTCCTGGTTCGCTTCCTCCATTTTGTATCGACATTCTTCATGTACAAGTAGCTGAAAACCTTCCTAGCCCAACGCTCCTCCTTCATTTCTCTCAATCGCTTCTCAAATTTTATCTTGCTGCTAGCTTCCCTGCCCTCAAATGATGTCCATCCGATATCACCTTGTACTCCCTGATTTGTTGTGTTCCCGTGAGCTCCTAAAGCAAGCCTACCTATTCCACGTTGCTTAATTTCTAAACTTGCTTGAACTTCTGATCTCATGCACAAGACGGCACTGTCGAACAGATGGATGGTTGAATGGATGGTTGAATGGATGGATGGATATGGCTGTACCATTTAGATCGGGTGGTGGCTAGCGCCACCAAGCCGCAATACTTAATGAACCCAAAACTATATTTATTTTTTCCCTAAAAATTGAGTTTGAGGATTCGTGCTTTGCAGTAAAGAATTCAATTAGGCCTAAAGCTCTGCGCAGCCGCCTGTCGCATGTGGCACAACTAAGTGGATTGTGGCGTTGAGGTGTTGCGCTCTGCTTCCCTCACTGTTTTTTTTATCTTGCGATGAACGAAATAGGAAAAGTGACCTTTATTTTATTTTTGATGGGCGTCTCGGCTGCCGCCGATGTATTAGCTAGCCGTACTGACAATCGTACCACGTGGCCGAAAAGCTCAAAGCTCCCTTCTCTGGGCCCTGCTCCATGGTTTCTTTCGAGTTTTTTTTTTGTTGTTGGTGTCTTCAGCGGGAGGGATGTCATCCACTGCCCGCTGTCTTCTGCACATCATCAGCGTCGCTGGCCAGAAATGCGGTCGCAAGGTCGGGCAATGGAGATGCCTGGGACCTGCGCAACTGCCTGCAGTCCGGCGCCCCCATGAGTGCTGGTCGCAACTGGAAGACGTGTCAGCGCTAGCGACGGTTCGTCGCGCCACAGCAACGTTGATGTTGCGGGGCTAATACTAAGGTGAAGTCGAACCGGACAGTGCAGCAGTGTCGACCAGCGGCGGTGTTGTGGTGGAAGGACATTAGGGACATGCGCTGTCATTTTTTTAAAACTTGTGTAGCTGATCTTTGTTTTTGGGATATGGTTTTAATTAAGGTTGGGGGGATGTGGGAGTGCTGACAGTCCCTGTAAAGTTGTTTGCCCCGCGTGGCGCATTTATCTCGCCCAAAGGCCGCATTTCGGGGGTGACAACCGCCGGACGATAGATGGCGTTGTGTTCGCGTTGAGTACCACTGTTGGTCGAGTGGTAGCGCAGGCGGTGAGCCCTGGCGGAAGGCAGGCCTTGGTGGTGGGCGACAGTTGAGCGAGTCTCTTCTGCGCGTGGCGGCTGCCGCAAACGGTTGCCTCTTGTGGTGGGTCTCCCGCGGACGGAACCGCGGGCCGCCTGCGGTAGGCCCACGTGGTGAGTGAAGCGTTGGCAACGCCGCCTTGGGTGTGCTCTTGTGTTATGTTGTTTGAGTGTTTGGTAATTTTGTGAAATGATGACTTAGCGTGTTGATAACGATTGATGTATCATTCGATATCGTCGTTGTAAATTAGTTAAATAAATTAATGTTGCTGGTTTGTACCGACCGCGTCTGCTGTGCCCGTTCACTCCAAGAGCATGGCGAGGCACTCGCCTCGTCGAGACCCCACAATAGTACCGACTTGTATTGCCGGATCATCACGGTCATCGATTGTAATAAGAATATACTGAGAATAAGAGTGTGGCATCAAGATCGAACAGCTGACCCACATCGTAGTGAAGCTCGCAGTCATTCTTTCACAGCCAAACCAAAAATATAGCTCCTTGTATATGGGACACCATTGCTGCCAATCAAGAGATCTTTTCCGGGCTCTGGGGCTTGCGATCGGTGGTGTAGCAAAGGCTTACCCCCGAATGCAGAGATGTTACTTAACTCGTACTTGACTTGTTCTTGACTCAAGACAGTCTTCCCGGTCACCACAAATCGTTCTCGAACTTGCGGACGACTTGAAGGCGTCTTGGCTCGGTCGAAGTCAGGACAAGTTTCAAGTCAGCTGCGGGGCTAGCTTGAAAGCAACTTCATGCGGTATTCCAACATGGCCACCTCTCGAATGGACGTCGCGCGGAGGGTGGCGGCTTTTGAGTTTGCTTGCCTCGCCATAAGCGAAGCATTTTCTGAGGCGCACTGCCTGCCGAAGATTCTTGGAGCCGCTTTACTTGACCGAGGAAATCCGATGGAGTTGTACGACGAGGAACGATTCCACACTTGATACAGATTCACGAAGAACGTCGTGCGGCAGCTGCTGGGTATGTTGCCACTCCGTGAAAGTGGGGACAACCGAGGACAGCCTGTGCCTCCAGTGTTACTGCTACTGATGGCTCTCGGGTTTTACGGCGTTGGCACATTCCAAACAGTCACCGGGAATCTCGTCCGCATTCCGTAGTCGACAGTTTCCCGTCCAGTAGGAAAAGTTGAGCTATTCATCGCAAAGCACCTGTGCGCAATGCTGGTGCGCTTTCCGCAGCCGGCAGCACTTTCTATAGTTATGCGGGACTTTTATGAAGTGGCTGAGTTTCCTGGTGTTACAGGCTGTATCGACTATACACATGTGCGTATTAATAGCTTCGGTGGGGACGACGCCGAAGTGTTCCGCAACGCAAAGGCCATTTCTGTTTTTTTCGTAAACACGCCGACAATTTCCGCCTGTTTCGGTACAAAATTGACTCGGCGCTGTGTCTGTGTGCCTCGTTTATTTTTCGTTCCGTCTAGGGCACTGTTTCTCGCTCAGAAAGGCACCGCTTGTAGCACAACGCTACGTAAAATTCCGCACATATAAAAAAGAGGTGACCTTCTTACAGTTTTTTTATCCGCTTCATCATCATGCAGCGAGACACTGCTGCTCCTCGCGAGACAGGATTCTGCTGAGGGCAATGTTCTGACACCCGCTTTTTCTCTTGTTTACCAAGCTCTACAAAAGGATACGAATTACATTTGTTCCCGGAACTTGTTTTTTTTTTCATATATAACTGCGGCCTAGCCCACTACAGGCATGCACACAGGCGAACAGAAAAGCAAATACCGTGAAAATCGCGTCACCTCGTGAGGCAGGTCAGCACAAATACAAGCCATGGCGTTCGATTGAAAAAAAAACGGAAGAATCCAACGCGATGCTTGTTTCGCCTCCAAACAAGCAACCGTGGAGACACACCCCGCATTTGGGTGGCCACTAAAACCAGCGGGCAACGAACGCTTTACAGAAGCAACACTGCGCATAGCTTTGGCGGCAGGCACCACGTGCCGCTCCTTAGCCGTAAAATGGCAAGAATATGCTGGTGGCCCTTCGTTTTTATAGTTATATTAAAACGTATGGGCTTTTTTTAATGTTATGCATGCCTTACGCGAACAACTTCATTATTACCCTTGTTAGCAGGCGAGTTAGCACGCTGACTAGCTCAAGTTAAGCTGAAGTCGCGAGCCAAGTAACATCTCTGCATTCGGGGGTTAGAGTATTTACCATTCAAAGCAATGCCAACTCTTCCCCACGGAAGCGTGTCTCACCTGACTATAGCCACGGCATAGAGGCAGCTGAGCTCCTCGGCATTGAGACTGTCATTGTGCAGGCGTGACCGGCTCTCACTCAGCTGGGCTTGCACCAGAGCAGCAGTGGACTCGATGGCTCGAGGAAGGTGGCCGTAGAGCCTGGGCAAAGTCCACAGTGCTCCATTAGTCTGCGCATACCCCACATTGTTTTGATGCCGTGCCATGGACTTGATTCCGCTACTACAGATGTCTGTTAAACATTTGGATCAGCTCATAACAGAACATCACAATTACTAACGGGGCCCTTTTCACTTTCAGCGCATGTTTATTGAGGCCAATACACGCATATGTTTTAGAGCATGCATGTGCCCTGGACGTTCTGGCTCCTGACATTTTGTGCAGCGTATTGCAACCATTCGTCAGGAGGATTTGTGCGATATTGACCGCGGAATCTTGGCGTCAAGTCAGATTTCACCAAGAATGCGATATGCAGCAGTAAGTCAAGGCAGCGCGATGCAGAGGTAACACAGTCCAATTATTTTTTAAGGTTTTGGCGATGTTCCAAACGGAACAAGTAACTGCACTCTTTTGAGTTGTTCTGACATCTGGCGGCAATTATTCACGCTCGGGTAAATGCATGTTCACAGTGCTACCACCTCATGCGGGGGCCTTTGAGTGAACCATACAGATTCTCTCAGACAGCGTGACTAAACTGCCTTCCTGTCAAACGGTCACGTCTTTCATCTTTACTAGTACACAAACACTCGCCGGGTCAACGAATGACGCAGTTATAGCTTGCAGCTACAGACAACGAACGCGTCCACATTTACGCACTCTCGACAAGTGTGATGAAGTGTTAAACGGGACGAATACCTGCTACGCCAAGCAGCGACCACTCCCAGCCCAGCAGCCTGATCCTTGAGCGAATCGCTGAAGAGGTTCCGGTACGTCTTTTCCCATTCGTGCCTTCAATAGCGGAAAAGAGAGCTCTCAGTACCGAACGCTAAACCATTGGCGTTGGATCCGCAAGAATGCCTGGAGGTACTTGCGACTTACCTGTTATACCACGGAACAACCACGAAGTTTCTCTTTTTATTTCTAGGTACGTACATTCTGACTGCAGAAGCCAAATACGCGTGTAGAATTCGGCCCAATTAACACAAAGAAATGCCGCGCTGGTAGAGAACATCAAAAACTACGCACCGCGGCGTGTTCAGTGCCGCGGCCGTTCACAGAACCCACAGAATACCTACCAGTTGGGCCGTCACGATGGCACAGTGCTGCCAACCTGTGGAACCCCTTTTTCCTTCTGTGTAGTGAAAAAATTCACTAGATTTCTGTAGATGTTTATAAAGAGCGTTTTTTTTTACACTAATGTGTTTGTGCTGTGAAAACCAACTTCAAAGTTTATTTTTATGATATAATGAAGTATTTGTTTTAAAATATTTATTATAATCACCGTGCTGAAGCATAAAGCTCTATATGCTGAAAGTGAAAAAAAAAGCAGCGTCTCCTGCACCGCCCGGCGGCGAGTTTACAAAGGCGAGCGGATAGACCCCCCACAATGCACTGCGCCAGGCGCTCTTACGAGGCTCTCAGAAGCTGCGCGCTCATTGGTTTGTGCGTGATGTCGTCAGCAAACAAGGCTGCGCCCGTGCACCGCCTCCTCTAGAAAGATGCCTGAACCTTGCCTGAGCCTGAGGAATGGCTCGCGTTCCCAGCGGAGTTGGCCTGCCTTCAGTTTTAAACAAGCTCCGCGCGGTGGTTCTCGCGCCTGACACTATCATCACGGCGACGGGCGGTTTACCAGCCATAGAGTTTCCCACAATACTAACTAGAGGGAACTCTGGCGCTAGTGTCTATGGGAGCTGCAACGCACGGCATTTCAACGAGCATGGGAATGATGGGTAGTCACGTGATGGTTAGTACACACATTTGTCTAATTTTTGTACTTCTGGTCTGCTTCTGGCTCCGTGTGTGTTCGTCTGGCTTGAAGCTGTTTTTTCACGAAAACATAAATTAGCAAATTTTCACCGTTTGTGCTTCACAACCTTATTTTTTTAAGCTTACTATTTTAAATCAAGTCCCTAAGTTGAAAAGGGTTTGTTCTTTTTTCAAAACAAAACCGAAACGCAGCAATAAACAAAGCCGCAAGTATGAAGACTAGGCAAATGTGTGTACTACCCATCATTCCCATCACGAAGGAAGAAAAAAAGTTCCTTCCTCTGTGATTCCCATGGTCACTGAACGATCGCAGCGCCAGAGTGCCCTCTAGTTAACTGCGTTTTTCATCTGCGGCCCATAGGGACGCGTGAGTCGAGAGTTGTTCGAGACCTGCAACTGTACATCACTGTTTCGGAGGCTATACACAGTGTTGCGTTGCTGCACCGTCCGCCACAAGTGACGCGAGCGACCGAGAACATTTTCAAATTGAAAGAGGGAAAGGAAATGGCAGCTGTTTTTTTTTTTTTTTTTCATGCGGCATGCATTTTCCTAGAGGAGGCGTTGGCCCATGCATAGTCTCTTATATAACTTTTGTGCCCGCGCATTGGCGCTAAATACATACGCACCATCCGTCCCTCATAGTTCCGGCGCTTGCCGCCAGAAACCGCACCAACCCCATAATAACAGCAGACGACGCGGCCTATGCACGCTTGCGTTTATGACGGTCTAGAAACCGTCTACATTGCATTCGATTATGCGTATACGTTAAGAAGTGTGGACACATAAAATTTTTAACACAAAAATTGTATCTAGAATGCAATGCGAGCTTTTTTATTTGATTTCGCGCTCAAAGCTTGAGCACTTTTCGAGACAACGGTTTGACATGAAAATCTTTCGCCAAGTTGTGTTTGTCAGTCACACTCGTCGTGAAGTTCCCAAAAAGTGGGCGGAGAAACTTCACGAGCACAACCTCCAAAAGTTTTTCATGGTGTCCCGGGGTCGCGCACTTGAGTTTGTCATATTTCTGTAGTATTTCCGTGGCGTCGTCAACGGCAGCCTTCACCTTCTGAAATTTTTTGACCTGCTCCAGCAGTATTGAGGCAGCCAACTCATTTTCACTTGCCTGCTCGACAACCTGCAAAAACGCTGGGACATAGCAGTCTTCTTTAAGTTTCTGAAGCTCCCTTTTATATTTTTCAACAGTTCCTTTGAACCTTTCAACCTGCGCCCTCAGTTCGCGTTCCTTACGCTTCCGTCTTTCGATGGTTGGTAACGAAATGCGTGAGGCTACTTGCACTGCTCTATCCACATGCACCGTTCTCGGGACGAAGCCTTGGTCAGTCCTGCTGCTGGAGTTGGGCACTTCTTCAAGTAGGGCGTCGGATGTGTACGACTGGTCATCTCGTAAGTCTGTAAACAGATGTGGTGTGCCACCACCGACTGCTCTTTTTTTTTTCTTGCTGGCTCACGCCAGTTAATACAGCCGCAGCACGCTTCCTGAGGGCCGCATCGCTTCTTTCGGTTTGTTTGCAAGGTTGCAAATACGACGGGTACTCGTGGAAGACGCTGGGCACAGAGCCTTTCTTCAGTCTTCGCATCGTGCACCCTTCTTTAAAGTCGGACGGGACGAAGTGTCGGCTGCAAACGGTAGAATAGCAAGATGCGCTGTTCATAGCAAGGTGTGAATAGCAAGATGTGTTGTCTCTCGAGATTACCTTAAGCCACTTTTCGCGAAGTCCTTGGTCGCTCGGAATTTCGTGAAGAAATACTCCAGTTTCTTTCCGGCCGCTCCATGATTTGCAGCATGGTACGCAGCAGTACGGTATTGTGGAGCGTTCGGGGCGCAGCCAAACCACAGAACACCTACCTGGCCAAACTTCTGACCATGCATAGACAACCGCATTTTTTTTACGATAGTGCTGCAGGTAACAAAAATACAGCGTTTAGGCACGATCCCTTGCAGCAACCGTATTTCTTAATGATGTAACATTTTGAACAAAGAACTTACCCGAATCGGCCAAAATTTGGGAGAAAGCGCACTTGATACAGTGACGGCTGTCTCAACGAGCGCTGCAGTTAACGAAGCTCTTGGGGGACATAGAGTTTCCCACAATAATTACTACAGGGAACTCTGGCGCTAGTGTCTACGGGAGTTGCAACACACGGCGCTTCAAAGAGCATGGGAATGATGGGTAGTACACACATTTGTCTAATTTTCGTACTTCTGGCCTGCTTCTGGCTCCGTGTGTGTTCATGTGGCTTGAAGCTGTTTTTACACAAAAACATAAATTAGCAAATGTTCACCGTTTGCGCTTCACAGCCCTATTCTTTTAAACTTGCTGTTTTGAATCAAGTCCTTAAGTTCAAAAGGGCGTGTTCTTTCTTTCAAAACAAAACCGTAACCAGTAATAAATGAAGCCGCAAGTAAGATTCGCCGCCCGCAAGTAGAGGTGTGCGCCGACTGGTCGGCGCGCCGCCGCCGAGAGTTTTCACCGCGTCGCAGACACGAACTGATCGGCGCGCCGGCGCCGCCGATGATTTTCATCGGCGCGTCATTTATGCGCTATCACTGACTTTTCACAGATTTCTCTTTTTCTTTTTCATCTTGATTTATAGCTTCGTTTCACATTTTATGTAGCCAGTAATAACCAGGCTCCTTAGTTATTTTCATGCAGCTTCAGAGACCGAGAGTACCACTATGAACAGCGGCACAAGTTCTGCGGCTACTGCATGTAATGATATTGTCACGTGCGTCCCGCGAAAAAGACGAAGGCGACAGCGCATACGCGCATCTGCACGCTTTTGTGCAGAACGCAACAACGAAAAAGATGAGGAACTCTCTCTCACGCGGTTAACAAAAAGACCGAAATTTCGTTGCCGCGTTACCTCCCTCAACTTTTACTTGCATAGATCAGGCATATTGAATTCCCCTATGTGCATTTACTGTAATCAAGAGGAAACGATCAGTCATTTTTTATTACATTGTCGCCGTTTCGATTTATTCAGGCAAAGCATACTAGCACCACCTCTTCAAAGACTGGGCTTGCAACTATCACAACCTGATCTTCTTTCAGTTGGAGCCTCTACACTGGGCTTCAGCCACAGGGATGCTTTATTCGCCGTTCAAGAAAACATCACTGCGACTAAACAATTTCCTTGCTAAATTGCTGTCTCACTATTTTTCTTCTTTCTTTTTCTGCAAACTTGATATCGGTATTTCAAATCAAAATTAAGTTACAAAAAACCAAAAAAATGTAGGAATGACGCAATGCTGAAAGTTTAGGGCAAATTCACCTTATAATCGGCCAATCCCCTTCTTTGGGTACGAGCCATTTGCACAGGAAAACAACAACAACGACCGACCCGCTGCTGTTTTCTCAGTGTCTTCGAGTACGACCTCTCTCTTGACGTCGCGACACTGGTGGAGGTGCTGGGGCCTGCAACCTGATGCAAGAAAGCGTTGTTCGGGACCGTACACCCAGTCCGGAGCCTCAACGTCTTGTTGCGACTCCAGTACACCGATTCAGCCGGCGCCTATTAGGCCTAAGCCCAGAACTCTTCACGGCATCTCCTGTTACCAACATGGCGGCCCCTTCAGCGTCTGCGAATCTTCCCCCGGCCTCGGCCAAGACGACTCACCCTTACCAGGTAACTCTTGAGACTCCTCGTGTTCCCGAAGTCTTCCGTGGAGAACCGTATGAAGATGTCGAGGAGTGGCTCGACCAGTTCGAGCGGACCGCTGTGGTGAATCGTTGGAAGCGTGCAAGAAAACTTGGCCGTGCCTACTTCGCAATGGAAAATAGCGCTCGCACATGGTACGAGAACAGGGAGCCTACTTTCCAAACCTGGGACAATTTCCGCCAAAAGCTTCTCGAGACGTTCCTGAGTGCGGACCGACGGGATCTCGCACAACAGATGATCGAAGCCCGCATGCAAAAGCCGAACGAAAGCGTGGCCATGTTCGCTGAGGATATGGCCCGCCTATTTCGCCGCGCTGACCCTGACATGCCCGAGGCAAGGAAAGTTCGTGATCTGATGCGGGGAGTTAAGGAACCGCTTTTCGCCGGCCTTGTACAAAATCCGCCAACAACAGTGGATGAATTCATAAAGAGGCGACTGTCATTGTGCGGGCGCTCCGGCAACGATGCCGCCACTTTGACCGCCTGCCCGACCAAACGCCTGTTGGTGCCGCCGCTCAAAACGCTGCCGTTTCCGAAAACTCTTTACGGCAAATGACTCGACAAATCCTGCGGGAAGAGCTGCGGGCCCTCGGCCTTCCGTCTACCGATCCCCCAGTTGCTTCTGTTGCAGAAATCGTGCGCCAGGAACTACGGC